CTCTCCCTCTCCCTTCTTCTCTCAATCTCTCTCCCTCCCCCTCTGTCTTCTTCTCTCAGTCTCTCTCCCTCTCCCTCTCCCTTCTTCTCTCAGTCTCTCTCCCTCCCCCTCTCCCTTCTTCTCTCAATCTCTCTCCCTCTCCCTCTCCCTTCTTCTCTCAATCTCTCTCCCTCCCCTTCTGTCTTCTTCTCTCAGTCTCTCTCCCTCTCCCTCTCCCTTCTTCTCTCAGTCTCTCTCCCTCCCCCTCTCCCTTCTTCTCTCAATCTCTCTCCCTCTCCCTCTCCCTTCTTCCCTCTCCCCCTCTCATTCCTTTTCTCCTTTTTTTCAGTCTCAGTCTCTCATTGGACATTTTGTCTTTTCACAGTGTAATTAGTCGAGGCCAAAAGGCATAAACTGGGGCTTTGTAAGCATTTACCAATATTATATATATGGTTAATCTAGACGTTAATTGAGTGGCTAATCTTTACGATAGAGACACTAAGTTAGAGCAAATCAGATACGATGTTCTTGTAGAGGACAAAAATTTGCAGTACTTGGTATAAGAAATAATTTGTAGACATGAACGGTAATGACACAAATAAAGGAAAAGGATTGTGGAAAGTGGCGCTCTCAGCCCACGTACACTTGGTACTTTCGAGTGTCAATTTTATCTTGCCGTGCATACCGAGGTGAAGACAGTGTTTCCTGGGGGGTGGGGGTGGGGGGGATCATGGCAATACCCCCCATCAACTCTCCCCTTGGGCAAATAGCCCAGTCACTGCAACTTAGACTGATGAATAAACTTGTGGATGTGGAGCTAGGGCCTCTGCTAAGTGCGTCTATACTGTAATGATTGGCTAGTTGAGTTTCTGTCATATCTCCTATCCATAGGGTCTGCTATCCTGGGGTCCAGAGAATAGTGCTCCAGTTGGGTATGCATAATGACCACAAGAATTAGGGGCAAAGTGTCCGTGCTTGAGATTTTATGGCTAGAATCTCATATAATTAGTGCTGAACCCACTAGCTAGGTAGTAATGGATATAATGTACTGTATAAAAATAATTAGGTTAAGATAGGGCTTATGGTGGTGTGCATTCAGATAGATTTTTATAGAATGATGGGTCTATCAGTAGTTTTATCACCCTGAAGGCTGCTGGGCAACTACATAACTGGGCAGGTTGCCGGGAGTCTGACATATCTTCACAAAGAGTTGACCTGCGTAGACAAAACTTACTCCCATCATCTTCTGTAGCTACTGTAGCTGCCTCTAGAAAGTGTGAAAATTGAGGATATTGCATGTAAATGAACCACATTTGGAGAAAAAGGTCTCATTGGCAGCTCACTCATAGGATCTGCTGAGCTGCAGTCCCCCCACTCACTCACTGCCGGCTGTATGACACACTAAAATAGTATGTAACTAAGAACTATACTATAAGAAAAAGCCTTTACATGTTGTTTTCAATATAACTGTAACTGTATTTCTTTTACATTTTCATTAAAACAAAACCAAAGAAGAAGTTTCAGTCTGTATGATAGAATCTATTAGTGCTACATTTGGCAACAAGGAGCTGCATTTGATGCAGGTCAGACCAGGTCACTGTCAGGGCCATGTTCATGCTTGTTCTGTTTATATTGAGTGAGGAGTGTGGTGACTGCTGAAATTGTTTTGAATACTATAAGTTTAATTGCCAGCAGATAAATAATGACAATGAAAAGTCAAATGAACATACAATATTTATAAAGTATTAACTTTTTGGGGTAACATTAAATGTTTTTGTGTAATGATTTTTTCTCTTTAATTATTGTTTCCTCATTTAGTTTGGTTAGCCTAGACATTATTACACTGTTGTGTGAAGCTTGCAGTGATACAGTCCCTCCACTCTGTATTTCCATGAGCTGCCACTGAACAGGCAGATAAATAGATAGATATAGATATGCATATATAGAGATCGTGAATAGATATGTATATATAGAAATAGTGAAAAGACTAACGAGAAAAATTAGGAAAGCGAATTACTTATCTATACTTAAGGTACTTAGATAGCCAACAGGTATATGCATGATAAAGGTACTTTCATAGGTAAAAGCTACACAATGAATATTTCACACTCATCCAGGTAAAAGGTACACTATGAATATTTCACTCATAATGCTTGTCTTTGCAGGGAGCAACTCCAGGTCAGAGATTTCTAGGGACAGGCAGTGGGATAACAAGTGCTGAGAGAGACAAGATTTATCAATGGATCATCGAGCTTGCCAATCCTGACACTCGGGAAAATGCCCTTCTCGAACTCAGGTACGTCGTGGTTTGATACTGGAACTTTTATGATATTGTCCGACTTGAAGACGTCTGGCATGGCCTACACATGTATCCATCGTTAGACTTTGAATATTTGTTTATTAATAGATGGTTATGTTATCTCTACTGACAGTGACATATATCTTGACAGCATGAAGTAACATGGGATGTATGATTGTGTTGAGGCAGATGCACTGTGAAATGTTAAATGGTTTTCTCCCATATTTAGTGTTCTGTAATTATTGTTTAGCAATAATGATGATAGTAATGATAGTACTATTGACAGTAATGATAATGATAATAATAATGTTGTTGATGATAATACTAATAATGATAATGATGATAGTAATAATGAAGATAAAAGTTATGATAAGGATGATGGTAATAATAGGGATGATAATGATGATTGTAATTATGATGATAATAGTGATAATTGTAGTGATAATTATTATGGTAGAAATAAGAATAGTAAGAATGAGGATATAAGTAGTTAATAATGACAGCTAATGATAATGACAATAACAAAAATTTGTTATCTGAGGAAAAGAAAATGAGAGAGGGAAGTATTCGTATTTTTATAGTTTTATTTTTATTTTTAATTTTTCCCCATGAATCAATTTCTCCACGTTAATCGATTCTAATCCCCGCAGTAAGAAACGTGAGTCAGTCCCCGACTTGGCACCGCTGCTGTGGAACTCCTTCGGCACCATTGCGGCTTTGCTCCAGGAGATCATCAATATTTATCCTGCCATCAACCCAGCGACGCTCACTGCCCACCAGAGCAATAGGGTCTGCAATGCCCTGGCACTCCTGCAGGTATGGAAAGTCGTGTGTTGCAAGGTCGTTCTCTGCGGACAGACCGTTGCGACATGTTGAAAAGGTGCGAATGAGAATGATAAACTTGTGATACAAGGTGTGTGTAGGGGGGGGGGTTGTAACTGTAGTTGTGTTTATATATTCGTCTGCCATCACCCCATGTCAAGCCGGAATTGACATGGTGTTAAAAAGATACCATTGGTAGTCAGAGACAACGAATGTGATAGTTATAAGAAGTTAGTGTAATTTAGGCTTTGTGATGGAACATTTACCGTTCTAGACATATTGTTGCAACATAATGTACTTTAGCATTGATATTGTAAGTAGACCTGTGATTCATTGTTACATATAGTTGCAATAGAAGTACAGATCCTGATCATAATTATTGTGAATCCAAGATCTGCATTTAGTCTTTCTATTCACCACATTTCTCTTCAACAGTGCGTAGCCTCACACCCTGAAACACGATCTCAGTTTCTCGCTGCTCACATTCCGCTGTACCTGTATCCGTTCTTGCAAACCGTCAGCAAGACCCGGCCGTTTGAATACCTCCGTCTCACATCCCTCGGAGTAATTGGTGCTCTTGTGAAGGTAAGCGAGGGAAGGGAGGCTCGGAAAAGGAAGGCTTTCCGTTTGGGGATGTCTGTATTTTCATTTGTATTTGGGGTTTCATTTGATTTTGTATCAGAGTTATTTTTGAAGGGAAAGGCTGTGACTTGAACTAATCATGAAGTTGTGTTTTTAAAGTATTCATACATAACATGCAATATTTTCATTTCTACTATTTCAAAGAATACAGTCACAGAAAACTTAAATCTGATATCCTAACTTTAGAAAATTATTCCTGTTTTCCCTTGCCAAAACAGACGGACGAGCAAGAGGTGATCAACTTCCTGCTCACGACAGAGATCATTCCGCTCTGCCTTAGGATCATGGAGTCGGGGTCCGAGCTGAGCAAAACCGTTGCCACATTCATCCTGCAAAAGATTCTGCTCGATGAGACTGGCCTAAACTACATATGTCAGGTTTGTTCCTTCTGTGTTGATGTAAATTTTTGTTGCCCCTCCATTATCTGTTCCTCTTTTTTCCTTCTTCTTCTTCATCTTCGTCGTCGTTTTCTTCTTTTCTTTCATTTTTTCTTTCTTTCTTTCTTTCTTTCTTTCTTTCTTTCTACAATGATTTCTGATATATTTGTTAGACTTTTTAAGGGAAATATTTTTACATATACTTGGGAAATATCAAATTGAAATTAAAAATGGGATTTATAGATCACATCATTAACTTTTTTTTGTAACTTGCAGACCTATGAGAGATTCTCTCATGTTGCAATGATCTTGGGTAAAATGGTCATTGCTTTGGCAAAGGAACAATCTGCTCGTCTTCTAAAACACGTAATCCGCTGTTATTTAAGACTCTCAGATAATCCAAGGTAAGATTGATTTTTTCTCTGTCTATTCTTTATTTCATATATATTTATTCAGGGGGTCGCCAGGGTGCAGTGGTGACATAGGCAGATAGGGGTTAGGCCTCCAATCATAGTGTTGTTTGAATCACACTGTGGTCCAAGGTTAAAAAGATTATCTACTTGGGGAAACAGCATCTACATGTCACATTTAAGTCCTCAAAGGATCATTCTGACCCTGACAGACGAGGAGTCCAAGACATCAAATCAATTAGCATATGTACATGTGCATAAACATACATACCTATGTATTTGGCTATGGTATATTGTATTTGTATGTAACATAGTCATATTCCATTTCTTCAAAGAGAATAGGTAGATATTTAATTTACTTTAGCTTATTATATATTTTTTTGTCTTATTGTTTTTAACTCTCCTCAGAGTTGGATAATTTCACTTGCTATTTATATGTCACAGTCATTTACAACAAGTATTCATATTATCTAAGTTGAGTAATTTTAACTGCGTACTATTATGTATAGATTTACTGTGATTGAGATGGAATAGAACTAGAATTTATAAACTTTCAGGGCCAGAGAAGCTTTACGACAGTGCTTGCCAGACCAGTTGAAGGACCAGACCTTCGGTGCCTGCTTAAAGGACGACAAGTCGACCAAGCATTGGCTCCAGCAGCTCTTGGCAAATCTGGAATCTACTGCCGCTGCAGATCACCGAATTACGCTTCCGCCTCTTGCTGCCCAGTGATGCTGTTTGGAAGAAGAGAAAATGAGGTTTCTAGGAAGCTACACCTCAGGGAGTGTGGGTCCCACAATGTAAGTCAGCACGCGATGTAGTTTCTTCTGGTTCAAAGAAAGCAGCATTGCAGCATGTGGAAAGCAGCCTATAGGGTCACTAGGTGTCTTTGTGTGGAACATTGATCACCCAGAATGACTGTCACAGAAACATGCGGCAAACTATATTCTGCAGCCCACACTCCAAGAGACATACCTTCCTGTCACCAAAATGGGGCTCTGTGTCATGTGAATCTTCTAACTACAGCACGTGTGTTTGTATGTGTGTCAAGGCTGCTTATGTGGTGGTTATGACTAGATGAATATTTTTGGAGGCATAATTTTGTAATGCCTCTCATAACCTGGACTGAGATGGCAGCATGTCGTGATATTATGAACTGTGCTTGGCGTAATCTAAGCATTATTAATGGATATTGTGCTTGTGGACTTAGCCAAAAGCAATTTTGATTTTGCAAGGCTCTTAAACAAGTGATTTTTCATTTGCTAGGCTGTTCGAATAAGTTAAGAAGAACTCTAGCTTTGCAAAGCAGAGGCTGTACTTACCAAATGTGGGTAATCATTTTGCCATTGTGTAACAAAAATGTGCAGTGGAGGTTATAGTTGTTACTGGGTCAAGCCAGGAACAAGCTAGGGGTTATTTGTTTTCCTCCATGAGGTAGACATGTAAGACAGAGGATTTAAAAGTAAAAGGGAAGGCTTAAGAGTTGTATTCAGGTGGCAATCAAACCCAGTTACAGATACTGAAACACAATGTTATGATGCTCCCAGTAATTCTCCTTTTACTATTCAGCTCTGGATAAGATATGCCAAATCAAGTGAATTTTAAAGTGTTTGCTTAATCAAGTGACTGAAAAGCTTGACAGGTGTGCATGAAAGGTGTGTGGTTAAGAGCATCGTCGCACAAGACAGCGGTGTGCTCACATGTTTAACTGGTTTGGAAACTTCCCCTGGATGTGGCCTTAAAGAATACTCTTCCTCATTTGTACCTGCCAACTGAAGCCAAATTTTTGGGCTTTATGTAATCACCTGACACTTGCTTTGATTGCTGTGCTGGTGAAGATGCTCGACCAATGTGTAACTTTTTCACTCCTCGAAACTTGGTGAAGCAATGGACACAGTGCCTGGCATTGACCAAACAGGAGATTAACAGTATAATTTTTACCGTGAAATTTGCTGTGCATTTAATCCTTTGATGAGCTAGCTTTGGGACATGAATGTGGGAACTGATGATGTAAGTAAACTTTTAAACAGAGAGGAATTTCTGATAGAATTCACAATTTAGCAGGAATTTAAAAAAAAGAACAGACAAAAGAATTGATAGTAGGAGGAATTGTGAAAATATAGATAAACAGTTTAAAGAAATAAGTGACATTTTACAATTTGAATGGCTTTTTAATTTTTTTCTTTATAACTGGAAAGATGTCTTCATTTTAGCCACTTCTGGAAATTTGGTGTTATATCAAAAATAACCAAAACAGGGTAAGTGTCACATGCCATGTCAAAAAAGAGAATTAAATGAAACTACAGTGTTGAGAAAGGGCTTTTATATTACGTAGAGTTGTACAGTCCATATTTAGGAAGTAGTTTTCTGTGATTTCATAGAGAAAGGTAAAAACTATTTTTGAGTGTGTACATATTTCATCAGTCAGATTCAGAGACTTATTCTGCAGAGGCAATAGTGGGGACTACTAGTCTCACATTTCCGTCAAACGCTTTAAGAAAAAAATCCGCAGGGAATATGGGTAGCACTAGGAAGTGTTGCTCAGATTTTGAGTTTTATAACTATTATGTTAAATTCAGATGGTATGATAACAGAGGTTCATTTGTAAGGGATATTGCATGCAGGTAAACAGGTAAACAACAGTTATTAAAGATGACAGTTGTCACAGTGAAATTCTTCATAGCACGTAAAACTACCATGAATACTTGACTCTTTTCCAAGGAGTTTTTAGGTTTTGGGGAACAGTTGTACAATCATATTTGGTTATCATGATGAAGAAAGTATTGCTTCAGATCTGTGATTCACTGTTGTATTGTACACCTCAGCAATGCAGTGTTTTACGTTTGTTTCCCAATACTTTTTTTTTTTTTTTTTTAATGAATAAAGTTCTTTTGTATTTTGAGAGAGATCTTATAATAGACTGTTCAGATAAAAACCAGAATATGATTACTATGGCCTGTTAATTCTGTACGAGTTTATCAATATTATTCAAGTGTTCTTATTAACATACTGATAGGATAAGAATTAGGATACTCTTCTAAATTCTCACTCAATTGTTCCTCTATGTCTTGTACACCACCATTCACCATTTCAGTCACATTTCTCCATGTGTTGGAACTGTAAAAATGTGCATGCATTGAAGAAAAATGAACCAGGGTCAAGAATTGTATTTTGAATTGTAAAACTATAAAAATTGGAGAATGTCAGATGTTACCGTATTAAGTGCATTAAGATTAAGAGATTGGGATGAAAAGTCTCATGCCATCAAAATTTCAGCTGCTCGGTGTTGTGTTGTTTCACTGTTCGCAAGGACGATCTTCCAAGTCAGTTTCAGAAATGAAGTATTCTCAGTTGAGTGAAACGAGGCTGCCTTTTATTAACCTTTGAATATGATGGTCGAGTTTAAATACGTATGATTTTTTTCATTTTAGTATTTTGATTAAGACAGAGAGAGAGAAAAAGGAAAGTGTTGATATATTATATTGTATTGATATGTAAAATCTCGGTAAATTTAAAAGTTTGAATATCTCTGCTGACAGCCTAGAAATTGTAAATTTTTTCTTTCTTTCTCTCTCTCTCTCTCTCTCATTCACTTTCAAAAAATAATTTATTGGCATAAACCATATATGAATAGCATTTGAAATTGCTAATGTGTAGAGGAAACAAAATAGAAAAATCATGTAGTTGTTTTCTAAGAAACATATGGCATTATATAATAGTTTATGCTGATCCAAGTGAAATTTTATCAGCTGTCCAATGCAGTAATCAGCTTTAATATATAACCAATTGATTTTTAAGAACTTGTAAAAGAAACAACTGGCAGCAGTAGTACTACAGACTGCCAGAAAGAGGATTCTGAAGCAATTTTGGTCTTAAATTAGCCAAAGATTTTGCTCAATAGTATAGACATAGCTGCAAAGGTGTGCCATATATTGATACTTTTCTGAATGTTGTCATTGAAGCAAATCACTGCTAATTAACGTTGGTATACCTTTTGAGTTGACGAGAGTGCAAGATATGTGAGGAAAAAGTTAGTATCTTATTTCATTAGTGCAAATATGCTGTGATCTATCTCTTTCGCTTTAGTGCTTATGACCTTTGATGTCTAGCACATTTATTTTCTTGTCATTATTACTTTCTTTCTTTTCCTTCCTCTCTCTTCTTTTTTTTACTCTTTCTCTCTCTCTCTCTCTTCTCTCTCTCTCTCTCTCTTTCTCTCTCTCTCTCTCTCTCTCTTTCTCTCTCTCTTCGCTCTCCTCTCTCTCTCTCCTCTCTCTCCTCTCCTCTCCCTCTCTCTCTCTTCCCTCTCCCCTCTCTTCCCTCCCTCTCTCCTCTCTCT